CCCCCTTCCCCTCCCCCATTTCTGAAGGAGGGTCTAGGCCTGAAACGTCAGCTTTCCTGCTCCTCTGATGCTGCTTGGCCTGCTGTGTTCATCCAGCTCTACACATTGTTATCTCAGATTCCCCAGCATCTGCAGTTCCTACTATCTCTAAATCATAGTTAAATTTTCTTCAAAATTACCACCTAATGATATCAGTTAGAGAGACAGCAAGATTAGAGGCATATCCAAGGAATCAAGAGAAACAGCATTTACTTCTCAGCGTGCATCAGCAAAGACACACAGACAGCACCCAGTGTACAGTTACGGTTTTTTTCAGAAGCATTTCTTCGTTTGCATAGTGCTGGAGAGGCTGATCTCTGGGAAAATTTGGATAACTTGATGTAAAGTAGTATTTTGGGTCACATGTTAGCACAAACTTCATAATGACTAAAAGTCTATTTGTTTTGCAGGACACAAACGTAGAAAAGTAGGTCATTAAGCTTCTTTAACCTATTGGTTCATGGCTGATCCTATGGACTGGATTTTAGTTACAAACCACACTTCCTCCACCCACCAACCCCTACCTTCACCACTCCCCCATCACCCCTGCAGTGGAGGGTAGGTAAAATGCTGTGGGCAGTGTGCCTCTTGCCCACCAGTCCTGCCACTATTTTACACAGATTGGGAAAAGGTGGCAGGTGGCCTGCCTGTCTGTCAGCCACTTGAGGCCCTTATTGTGGCCAGTTCTTGAGCAGTAAGCTCCCCTCTCGCCACTCCTTCTTTTTCTCCCTTGTCAGAATCTGCCCCAGCAATCATCCACTGCCCACTCCCTCACCTACCTTGATTCTGGATGCAGGGCAGACATTGCTGGGGGACAGATGCAGTACCAGTGATCATCACTCCAATGGGTGCTGCTTGGACCAAACAGCTGCACACCAAGGGGAGGCAGTGGCCCAGTGGTATTGTAGCTGGACTGTTAATCCAGAGACCCAGGTAATGTTCTGGGGACCCAGGTTCAAATCCAGATAGTAGAATTTGAATGCAATGAAAATTTAGAATTATGAGTCTAATGACTGTCACAAATCCATTGTCGATTGTCAGAAAATCTCATCTGGTTCACTAATGTCCCTTAGGGAAGGAAAGTGCCATCCTTACCTGGTCTGGCCTACATGTGACTCCAGACCCACAGTAAAGTGGTTGACTCTTAACTGCCCAGAGGGCATTTAGATATGGCAATAAATGCTGGCCTGGCCAGCAATGCCCTAATCCCATTTATAAATTTTTTTTTAAAAATCTGATTGATGAGCAGCAGGAGTATTGTCCCAAGATGACTAACATCACAACTTTCTGATGCTTTGAAAAATCATTTCAGTGTCATTTGTTTAATGTAGTGAAATTCCTTTCCTTACCAGTTTTCCAATTGCTTAGTAAGTTGGTCAGGTAACATGCTGTTGCATAAAAAAAAGAGAATTAGAAGTTAATTTACACTGAATCACAATGGCTCAATAAAACAAAACAGACTACACAACAACAAGGCTCAGCTGGTTAATCCTGAAATAGTACAACTCCAGCATCGGCAGTTCTTACTATCTCTGATTAATCCTGAAATTTCTGTTTCACATGAACCTCCTCCCAGCTCTCTTCATCCATCCCCATCATCATCTTCTATTCTCCCTCATATTAATTTGAATACAGGGAATTTTAGTGATTGTTTCATGTGCAAATGTATTTGTGTAACATAGGAGGGAAGAATGTTCACAGTCTCAAATCTCAATGTGGATGCTCATTATTATTCCTGTTCATTGAAAGGAGGAAGAAGTAGGGAGACTCTTGAAATAAAGGAATAATTTAAAGATTTTGGGTATGTCTTTATCAAGATACATAAATGGGATCAAATTTGTTGACCTGAACTGACTTGTACTAACGCTGGGTTAACCTATATGTATACAAACCTCAAACTCAGTAGTTAGTTATACAGATGTTAAAATTTGGATTTTTTTTCCACTAATTTGTTAAGATGATGATCTTATAAGCTTCAAGAACTTTAGGCCATAATTAAAATGTAGCTCATTGCACATAAATACTTCATCAATCTCGGTTGTAATGGTGTTTTTATCCACTGATTCAGCTTGAATTAGTATAATATCAACTATTAAATCAATCATTCATGCAATAACCATTGTATTTTCTTTTCTATTCATTTTGTGGGATGTGGGTGTCGCTGGCTGGCCAGCATTTCTTGCCCATCCCTAGTTGCCCTTAAGAAGCTGGTGGTGAGCTGCCTTCTTGAACCGCTGCATTCCTCCTGCTGTGGGTTGACCCACAATGCTATTAGGGAGGGAATTTCAGGATTTTGACAGCAACAGTGAAGGAACGGCGATATATTTCTAAGTCAGGATGGTGAGTGACTTGGAGGGGAACTCGGAGGTCGTGGTGTTCCATATATCCCATGTATTCGGTGGGGCCTGCAACACAATCAGTTCCCTCGTCCGCTCTACACTCCGCACTAGCCCCACCACCCCCGGCACCTTTCCCTGCAACCGCAGGAAGTGCTACACCCGTCCCTGCACCTCCCTGCTCACCTCCATTCGAGGCACCAAACAAACCTTCCACATCAGACAGAGGTTCACCTGCACATCCGTCAATGTGGTCTATTGCATCCGCTGCTCCCGACGTGGCCTCTTCCACGTGGGTGAGACCAAGTGGAGGCTCGGAGACCACTTTGGAGAGCACCTTCCAGTCGCGAACCATTTCAACCCCCCAGCCCCGGGCAACATGTCCATCCTGGGCCTCCTCCAATGTCACAATGACGCCACCAGCAAACTGAAGGAGCAGCGCCTCATATTCTGCCTTGGGAGTCTACAGCCCAGTGGCCTAAATGTGGACTTTACCAGTTTCAAAATCTCCCCATTCCATGGCCAACCTTCCGTCTCATCCCCACCTCCTCGACCTGACACAACTTGTCCATCTTCTTTCCCACTTATCCGCTCCTCCCATCCCACTGACCAATCCCCACCACTGCCTACCTGCACTCACCCATCATCATTCCACCTACCTTTCCCAGCCCACCCCTCCTCTCTCTATTTATTTCCCAACTCCCTTCCTCCTCCCCCATTTCTGAAGAGGGGTCCCGACCCGAAATGTCAACTTTCCTGCTCCTCTAATGCTGCCTGGACTGCTGTGTTCTTCCAGTTCCACACTTATCTCTGACTCCAGCATCGGAAATTCTTACTATTTCTGAGTGACTTATAACCCCACTGCGAAGCCCCTTCTAGGATGCCCACCTTAAAGAAGTTATCCTCCACCCTCCATAACGACCTCAGTGGATCTCTTGCCCACTGCAACCCTCTGGTAATCTCTTCAGCCCCGAAACTGCTCGACCACATACTGAAGCAAACCAGGTACTACAGCCACGTTGCCTTTCTCAGTACCTGCCTATGGAATCGGATCATCCCCAATGGACTGCAATCTGCATTCAGGCCATCCCAATTTGGCCCTGACCGCAACAACCTCTACATACACAACATCCAGATCCTCCAAAAACGGTTTTCTATGCGGCTCCTCAAGCACACGCTCTTAGCCATGCGCCGGCATCTCATGGCCCTACAAACAAGCCTATCCCAGCTCAGAGCTTCCCTCTCCCAGACCCGCAAAGGACCTTTTCCGTTTTTCATTCTTCGCAGAATCCACAACCTCAATTTACGATTTTACTCCGCCCTATCGGACATTAAAAACCATAAGTATACTAAACTTACTGGTGCCTGCCACCAAACACAGGCCCTCTTCCACCCCCCAAGTCTTAACCTTACCCAGGACCTCCCTCACCATGTGGTCACCATCATCTCACCTGCTGATGCCACTGGTCACGTCACTTCCAGTGCCACAAACCATGCTTCTGCTGCCACCACTCACACTGTGGACGCCGCCACTTCCGTCACCAACACAGAGCACTGCCGACATCAAGGACGATGTTGCCCCACCCGCTGCTGACATCACTGATGATGTCACTAATTCCACCCCCACAGCCAGCTCCAATCCAGCCACCAGCTCTATACCCAACCCCAGCCCCAAGCCCTGTCGGGTCTTCACCATTCCCCAAGCCCCGCCCACACATCAATGCATACCATCGATATCTGGATGTCGAACACTTTTTCCCCCGCCTCCACCTCCATGCCTATTTCTTTAGCCGCGAGTCTAAACCCGCCTCCAGCCTCCAGCAAAACTCAAACTCCTCAACACCACCCCAAGGCCTCCTATCCTCCTTCGACCTCTTCATCTCCAACTGCCGTCGCAACATCAATCGCCTCAACCTCTCCCCCACGGAACATGCAGCCCTCTGCTCCAACCCTAAACTCACTATCAAACCCACAGGTAAAAGGGGCGCAGTAGTGGTATGGCGCACTAACCTTTACATTGCGGAGGCCAGGCACCAACTCTCTGACATCTCCTCCTATCACCCCCTCGATCATGACCCCAACCCTGATCACCAAAACATCATTTCTCAAACCATTCATAACCTCATCACCTCAGGTGACCTCCCACCCACAGCCTCCAACCTCATCGTTCCCCAAACCCGCACTGCCCATTTCTATCTCCTTCCCAAAATCCACAAACCTGACTGCCCTGGCCAACCCACTGCTTGCTCCTGCCCCACTGAACTTACCTCCGCTTACCTTGACTGTTTTCTCCCCCTTGGTCTGGGAACTCCCCACCTACGTCCGGGACACCACCCACGCCCTCCACCTCCTCCAACACTTCCATTTCCCCAGCCCCCAAACACCTCATCTTCACTATGGACATCCAATCCCTGTACACTTCCATTCCCCATGCCGTTGGCCTAAAAGCCCACCACTTCTTCCTCTCCCGCAGGCCCAACCAGACCCCTCCGCCCGCTTAACCAAATACATTTGTATCCTTAACAGCTTCTCTTTCAACTCCTCCCACTTCCTACAGATGAAGGGGGTGGCCATGGGAACCCGCACTGGCCCACGCTATGCCTGCCTCTTCGTAGGATACATGGAACAGTCGCTCTTCCACAGCTATACTGGCCCCATCTCCCACCTCTTCCTCCACTATATCAATGACAGTATTGGTGCTGCCTCGTGCTTTCACGAGGAGCTTGAACAGTTCATCAACTTTACTAACACCTTTCACCCCAACCTCAAGTTGAGACCATTTCAGATACCCCTATCTGTTTCCCGGACCTCTGTCTCCATCTCTGGTGACCGCCTCGAAACCGACATCTATTTCAAGCCCACCGACTCCCACAGCTACCTAGACTACACCACCTCTCGCCCAACTTCCTGCAAGAAAGTGATCCCCTACTCCCAATTCCTCCACCTCCGTCTCATCTGCTCTCAAGATGGAGCGTTCCACTCCCGAACATCCCAGATGTCTTCTTATTTCAAGGATCGCAACTCCCTCCCCTTCAAAAATGCTCTCGACCACATCTCTGGCATTTCCCACACCTCTGCCCTCACATCCCCTCCCCACAACAAAAAAAAAGACAGAATTGCCCCAGTCCTTGCATATCACCCCACCAACATCCAACGTATCATTCTCCGCCACCAACAATCCAACCCCACAACCAAAGATATATTTCCCTCCCCACCCCTAGCTGCCTTTCATAGGTACCGTGCTCTCTGCGACTCCCTCGTCCGCTCCACTTTCCCCACTAGCCCCACCAACCCCGGCACCTTTCCCTGCGACTGCAGGAAGTGCTACACCTGCCCCTACACCTCCGCTCTCGCCTCCGTTCAAGACACCAAACAAACCTTCCACATCAGACATAGGTTCACCTGCACATCCATCAGACAGAGGTTCACCTGCACATCTGTCAATGTGGTCTGTTGCATCCACTGCTCCCAATGTGGCCTCCTCTACATCGGTGAAGCCAAACAGAGGCTCGGAGACCGCTTTATAGAGCGCCTGCGCTCTGTTCGTGACAAACGACGACACCTTCTGGTCGCAAACCATTTCAACTCCCCCTCCCACTCCCTGGGCAACATGTCCATCCTGGGCCTCCTCCAATGTCACAATGACGCCACCCGCAAACTGAAGGAGCAGCACCTTGTATTCCGCCTCGGGAGCCTATAGCCCAATGGCCTAAATGTGGACTTTACCAGTTTCAAAATCTCCCTATCCCCGGCCTCATCCTATGTCCAAGCCTCCATCTCATCCCCACCTCCTTGACCGGACACAACCTGTCCATCTTCTCTCCCACCTATATGCCCCACCCATCCCACTGACTAATCCCCACCACTCCCTACCTGCATTCCCCCATCACCATCCCACCCACCTTCCCCCAGATCCACCCCTCCTCTCTCTCTTTATTTCCCAGCTACCTCCCCCTCCCCCATATCTAAAGAAGTGTCCCAGCCTGAAACGTCAACTTTCCTGTTCCTCTGATGCTGCCTGGCCTGCTGTGTTCCTCCAGCTCCATACTGTGTTGTCACAGGAATTATTACTGTGCAGAAAGAGGCCATTCAGCCCACCATGTCTGTACAATCTCTTAGCATATTAAACTAGTGCAATCTCCTACCTTTTCTCCACTAATTCTGCAATTTTAGTTTCATCTAATGCCCTCTTGAATGCCTCAATTGATCCTGCTTCCACCACACTCCACACAGTGCACTCTGTAGCCCTTTCTTTTCTCAAAAGGTTTTTCTCACTACATATTTGCTTCTTTTGCAAAATACTTTAAAACTGTTCTCAATCCATTAAGAATGGAAAGTTTCTCCTGATCCACTCTGTTCAGACATTTCATTATTTTGAAACCTTCTATCAAATTTACAAGGAAAATAGTCTCAACTTCTCCAATCTTTCTTCATAACTGAAATGGCTCATCCCTGGAACTATTCTTGTTTACCTCTCCAATGCATTCACATCTTTCCTGCCATGTGGGGTACAGAACTGCACTCAATGCTCCAGCTGAGGTCTAATCAGTGTCATATGTTCATCGTAACCTCCCTATTGTTGTATTCTATTCCCTATTAACGAAGCCTAGAATATTGTCTGCTTTATTACAGCTGTCTCTATCTGTCCTGCCACATTTAATGACTTATGACATATACACTGTGGTCCTTCTGTTCCTGCACACCCTTTAGAATAGTACCTTTCGTTTTATACAGTTGCTCCACGTTCTTTGTACTAAAGTGCATCACCTCACACTTCTCTGCACTGAACTTCCGCCACCTATTCCTCCCACCAATGTATTTTGAAGTTCCATACTGCCCTCCTCACAGCTAAGACTTCTCCCTTGTTTTGTATCATCTACAAATTTTGAAACTGTCCCCTACACACCAATGTCTAAATTATATATGAAAAAGCACAAGGTTCTATTACTGATCCCTGGGGAGCTCAAATATTGTACAGCTCAGAAAATACTCATTAACCATGACTGTTTCCGATCCCTCAGCTAATATTCTACTCTCATTTCCACTACCTCTTTTATGCCATGAACTATAACTTTCCAGACAGGTCTGTGTGTGACACTGTATTGAGCACCTGTTGGAAGTTCATGTACACCACATCACAATCTTGCTCTCATCAACGCACTGGTACATCTCCAAAAGATTCCATTCAGTTAGTCAGACATGATTTTCCCCTAACATATTAGTGCTGACTTTTCTGAATCAATCCATATATTTCCACATGATTATGAGTTATTGTTTCTAGAAGTTTCCCCAGTACTAAATAAAATCTGATTGGTCTGGGCCAATTGGATTCATAGGCTAATTGCTGGGCCTGTCTTCTGAAGCCTTTCCGAATGAGAGCATATGGTGTATGAAAATTCTTTACTTACTTGTCCATCTTGAAGGAGATGTGTGGTTCAACAACTCCATTAGCAGTAATTCTACTCTTGTAGTCATACTGGATCACTGAAGGCTGTGAAAGACAGAATGAAATAAAGTGACATCTGCTAACTCTAATATATCCTGATTTATAAATGTTTTCTGATTATTGCTGTTTCATCTTCTGGTCAGGACAATTAGAGGTCTGTTTATCTCCGAATTAATTCTGCACTTGTCTGTGCACATTTTATTTACAACCTTTTACTTACAGACCAACAGTGTGTGCAGTTATGTAGCTACACAAACTTGTACTGTCTGCCCAGTGAGATCTCTCCTTAACTTGCTCTTAGGTGATTTAACATCATAATCATATCATTGTCCCTAAGGCTCACACTGTTCGATCATTATTCCATTAGCGGTCTACTTAATGTCTCGCATTGAGTGGGGGGGCGGTGGTGAAGGATGGGTTTTATAGTGAACAGAGTTATTACAGGCAAAATACCAGAAATGCTAGAAATCTCAAACAAAGAACACCAGAGAAACTCAGAAGATCTGCAGCATCTATGGAGAGAGAAATAGTTAACATTTCGAGTCTAATATGACTCTTCTTCAGATCATAGTTATATCACAAATCAACAGATACCGCTGGAATTAAAAATGTAGCCTTCAAGAGATCCCCATCCTGAACAAACATTCTTAAAATATCTATCATTTTTTTCTCAATCAGATTAGGATTTTGTTCTGTTCCTTTGAATTGAATTTAAATACTTTAAAAAAAAACCTTTTAGAATCACTAATTTGAATGATTAAGACTACAAATGTACAAATACAAAAAATAGTTTACGACTCAACCATAAGATTGCAAAAATACAAATAGTACAAAGTACAAGTTGAAATCATTTATCTCACTAAAGCATCTAAGTTCTAACAGCAGGTTAACTTAGGTTAAAATTGTAACTAGTAATTCCTCGTTAAACATTTATTTTCATCACTGCAAAGCTGACTATCTAAGTAAATCTATCTTTGTCAATACAGTGTGGAGCTGGAGGAACACAACAGGTCAAGCAACATCAGAGGAGCAGAAAAGTCAACACTGGGATGAAGGGTCCCGATCCGAAACATCGACTTTCCTGTTCCTCTGATGCTGCCTGACCTGCTGTGTTCCTCCAGCTCCACACTGTATTGATACAGACTTCCAGCATCTGCAGTTCTTGCTTATCTCCTAAATCTATCTTTCATTCCTTTAAACATTGAAAGATGCATCTTTGCCTTATGATAGTGTAGAAATCCTTTCCTGAAATAGCCAGGCTTGGAGATGGGAAACCTCAATTTTTGAGACCATTAGGTTGTGATTAAGCATCATACCACCCTAAGTTTTATTCTTATTCTGGCTCAGGTAGACTTAGCGCTTGCTATCTCACCCTAACCTTGTAAGAGGAAGGCAATAGCAAATCACACTGACAAAAATTGCCAAGCATATGGTTCAGGATGAGAGAAAATAATCAGATCCTCCACAAGAGTAGTGAACATGCAGAAATTCAGTTTAATTGCTTGTGGAATCTTAACACAGAGAATTGCAAAGATCTGTGTGTTGGAGAAACTTGATGCCATGAAGAACCTTCGAGATGTCCTAGGAGAGAAATTATGGTGAACAAAGGCACAGTAGTGAGAACTTCATTGAAAGGATTTCCAGTGTCTCACCAGGCAGATTAATCTATCACGTACCACATTTACTAAACAAATATGCAAAAAGATGGATTACCAACTTGGTCATACCTCCTCCATTCTTTCACTGTTGAATTCTCCACATACACTGGAGACAGTTTTGTCAAGAGACTTAAAAAGTAAACACAATTTACTTGATAAAGTACCTTTGATCACCTACACAATGTTTGTACAAGAAACCAAGGGTTTTATGACAGCTTCTTTAAAGTTTTTGAAAAGATTTATAGCTCGGGTTGTGGGTGAGGTTGTAGACACGCTCGTTGAGTCGGTGTGTTTGGTTGCAGACGTTTCATCACTCTGCTAGGTAACATCATCAGTGCGCCTCTGGTGAAGTGTCGGTGTTCTATCCTACTTGTTATTTATATGTCTCCGTTTGCTGGGGTGGGTGGTATTACTTCTGGCTGTTTTTCAATGGTTTGTATATGGGGTCCAGTTCAATGTGTTCGTTGATGGATTCTGGTTTGAATGCCAGGCCTCCAGGAATTCCCTGGCATGTCTCACGCTATTATGAGCGTATTGTCCCAGTTGAACTAGTGTCCTTTTTTGTCCGCTGGTATTGACACCAGTGAGAATTGGTTGTGTCTTCTGGTGGCTAGTTGGTGTTTGTGTATGCTTATTGTCAGTTTTCTTCCAGTTTGGCCCATGCAATGTGTCTCACAAGAACAAAAATCAGAAGTTGCTGGAAAAACTCAGCAGGTCTGGCAGCATCTGTGAGGAAAAAAATCAGTTAACGTTTCAGATCACCGGGTCCCGGGTCATCGGATCTGAAATGTTAACTGATTTTTTTCTTCGCAGATGCTGCCAGACCTGTTGAGCTTTTCCAGCAACTTCTGCTTTGTTCCTGATTTACAGCATCCACAGTCCTTTCGGTTTTCAATGTTTCTCACAGTCCTTGCATGGTATTTTGTATATTACGTTAGTTTTATTGGTTGTGGTTATGGGATCCTTTACGTTCATTAGTAGCTGTTGCAGGGTGGTTGTTGGTTTGTGGGCTACCCTGATACCTAGGCATCTTAGTAGTCTTGTGGTCATCTATGATATGTCTCTGATGTACGGCAGGTGACTAGTGTGTCTGACCATGTTGTGTCTTCTTGTTGTGGTCTGTCGTGGAGGTAACAGCAGATTGTGCTTTTTGGGTATCCAGCTTCTTGCTGGGTCTCAAAACTCATTTGTATTGTATTTTTGCCTGTAGAATGTTATCTAAAATGCTTAATGTTACGCTCATAATTTCAATTTGACCTCTTTCTTTTCTGTGTTAATTACAAACAAGTTCATAAATTTACCTTGGCTAATGCACACTTCAATTCACTTTTGTCCAGGTATGGTGACAACATTCCCCATTCCTCTTTTACTTTGGAAGGTCTGCAGCAAACAGAGAAAAGGATATAGATCATATGAGCCATAAGTATGCACATAGAAATTTGGTGCAAGTACTTTTAAAGGCTGTGACATCATTGCCTTAATGCCTAGCAATGGTGTCTTAAAGAATTATAGATGTATGTCACATTCTCCACAAGGGCAACACAAAGGGCTGAAATTTTCCTAGTTTCTGAATGACAAGGGCAACGGACGGTCAGTAAAGTAAATATGGCAAGATCAAAAAAAATTAGATTCTCAAAGTTGAGAACAAGAAAAGCCTGATTCTGAAACTAAGTTTTAAATGATAAGAGAATTTCACAAGCAGAAAGAGACCTACTTACATACCTTGAATACCAAATTTTGCCTCACTTATATGCAGTTTCCTATTCATCCAAGTACCAGAGGGAAACTAGAATGCAAGAATTTCTGGCAACTCCAGCTCACCGTTTGCTCCTCCAGGCCTCCATCCTGGATAGCAGTCTCAAACATCTCAGGGTCTGCTCCATGAACAAACACCCATCTCATGAATAGGACCAGGGTGTGCCTTAGCTTGCTCTCCTAAGGCTTACTCACTTAGCGTCTATTTGGATACTCACAGCAACTCCGCTCATTCAGAATTTAAAGGCTCCACGGTACTACTGTATTGCCTTGCCTTTTAGTGCAGACACAAAGCCATACAGCTTGTCATAGTTGTCTGCAGTGATCAGTCAAAGGGACAGGCATGTTGTGGGATGGCACCACATTACCTCAATGTCACATCTACAACATGTGGCAGTAGCTTACTCAGCAATCACACTGCATGTGCTTCAATCAAATGGCCATGTCTCAAAGTCTAAGAAAACTAGTCCTCAGTCAAGTAAAGGGGGACTTCAATCCATCAGAGAGTGTTTCCAGAATCAGTCAAGGACATCACCAGATCTCAGTACAGGGGCTTGAACATGGTTAGTTGGACGCATGGCACTGTCAGGATCTGGGGGTTCCATACCCGTATACAGTCTGGTAAGTGGGCCACAGTCAGTCCCACAGATTCACTTGAACAATTCTGGAGAGTCGCAGTGGTCAGTCAGGGATCTGTACAGAGATCAGTCGATGTCCCAGTCATTCATCAGTCAGAACTGTCCATGCAAATCAGTCCTGGGGCTGTGCTACTGAAAATCAAGGTGCGGTTATCAAGAGCTACCACCTTGGTAGGGAAGCTGCAGAAGCCAACTGTGGGGATTGGAGGCAACTAAATGTCTGCAGAGGGAACAATATTGTAAAAGGGCAAAAATTCAACATATAATGGTGGGAGATAATGGTGCATTAAAAGGACATGGATTACTACAGGAAGGGAAAGGGTGTGGATCACTGATGGCTACACCTACCCTGGCACTGATTTTTTTTTGGGGTAGAGGGAGGGGTGGGTGAGAGTGTCAGTACAACACAATAGCTTGTATTGCCTATGGGCCAGTGCTCAAGGGATAATGTTGGAGATTAAGATATAAATTAAAAAGAGTTGATTGAGGACAATTGGAGGCTCAGTACTCATGTAGTTGACAGGGAGCGCAAGGAAGCAAAGAACACAGAAGTTCAAGGTGGAGGGGATTGGTGGGGGAGTCCTTGACTGCCAGACGGAACTGTGCCGAGTGTGACTTGTGTTGCCTTCCATCCTCATCTGAACAGCAGATGTGCAATGGAAATGAAGAATGGCTGTTTCCACATCCACAGTGGGTAGATTTTTTTTCTTTCTGTCTGAGCAAGCGAGTTTTACTTGTGCACAATGAGAGAATCTTCAAGGGGCACAGTGACTCCCCCTATGACTACAAATATATTATGTTTCTAATATTTCCCATGCAGGTTCACTGGAACCATGACCAATCCAACCATCCAGGTCATTATTGATTGGTCTCTGTGGTGCTACAAAAGCAGAAAAATGGAAGTGGAACAGATGTACCAGTAAGCCCACAACCAGCAGCAATCTGCAGGAGCCGAGAAACAGCCTCCACACGAAGAGGTCATATGAAAGTCCCCTCGGGATGTGGAGCAGTGTTGGAAGGCCAAGCATCTATTGTCCTTGATGCCATTTCCTCCAGCAAGGCACATTGCTGCCACAGTTTGAGGATGCCCTATGACATTGTCACAGAACTAAGCCATGTGCTGGAGTGAGACCTGCAATCTGAAGGGCTGGGTTGCCATCCCATCCTGGTGGTCGTCAAGGTGACGGCTGTGCTAAATTCTTATGCAACTGCCTGCTTCCAAGGACCCACTGGGGTCCTGGCTGGGATTGCTCAAATCTTCACAAATGTTAGTGATGTAATTTGTGCCAGATCACACCGCTTCATCTTCTCTCCCTATGACAAGGTCATTGCTGCAACCCAGGGAGTAGGTTTGCCAACATAGCCGGCCTACCCCATATGCAGGGTTCCAAAATTATGTACATATCACACTGACAACACTATTGTAATGCAGCAGACTTCATCCGCAGGAAAGGCTTCCATTCCATCAATGTACAAGTTATCTGTGATCCTCAGTGATCTTATAAGTCTGCAACAGGTAACTAGGGGGTTGCTAAGATGCCAGTATCCTTGAGAACTCTCAGGTTCCTACTTGTTTGAAAGGCTGGATGCTTTACAAGGATGGCTACATGGAGACAAGGACTACCCACTCAACCATGGCTGATGATTCCATTACACCATCCCCTGACTAAGGCCAAGTGTCAATACAATTCTTATATTCAGGCTATCATGGATCAGATGATAGGTCTTCTAAAGACGAGGTTCCAATCCTTGGATCAGTCTTGTGGGCAAGGAGCCTTGCAGTATCATCTGGACAGAGAGTGCCACATAATTCTATCTTGATGTACTCTGCACAACTAGAGCAGGTAGACAGGGGATGTGATGGACACTGCAGAACTGGGAGAGTAGCAGCAGGGACCAGGGAAGTTTCTAGCAAACAGTATTTTCTTCTTACCTTATAGAGTAGCATGCCAATGGGCAGCGAGGCAGAATAATTTTCAACATCTGGCCTCCTTTTAATTTGGCAGGAAAGCTGCAGGTATCCCAATATAACTCAATGCTCTGCCTCATAAACCTTACCCATCTGGCAGATGCCTGCAACCAGACCCTTGGAATGGAAGTTGGAGGCGGCAATGCGATTGAGGTTCTATATTTAAGGAGACATTGATGGTCTATAGTACACTTCTGAAACCAGAAGGAGTAACAGACATTTTCTGGTTATTTCGTGATTGGAATGGCAGTGCACATGATTGGAGTGTCCACATTGCATGTCTGCCCACGTGGCTGTTAAAATTACAAGCCAAATCCAAACTTGACACCGCAAATAAATGCTTCAGATAGCCAATATTAATTCACCATGAAGATCACAGCAGGCCAATCATCAGGGTTAACAGGCAATAAAGCTACATTTTTAACCCCTTACTGTTCCGTTAATACAGATTCTTCAAGTGAAAATCTCTCTTCCAGTTACTGCATTAAATGTCAATTTTTGACACATTCTGGAAAGATTTACAGTGATTTACCATTCAACAGATACCGCGTGGGCTTGAGATTGGTAAATCCAGTTTGAAAATGTTAGAATATGGGCTGAAACACAATCTGAAATGATGCCCACAAGAGGTTTTTCTCATTCAAATATTACTTACGCAAGGTGTTCCTTTCTTCCCCTCAGAATTCTACTTACACCTGCCCATATGAAGTTACAGTTCATTAAAGAATTCAGCTTGATGCAAGACAATAATTTCCTTGACCCAATGGAGTTAATATTTATCATGTATGAGCCTGGATACTGAAAGCAGACATAATAGGAAGCTATTCTCAAATACTTCATCTTGGATGCACTTAAAATGTTGTTACTCGAAACTTGGAGAGCACACTAACTGACTCACATTCCAGGAATTAATCCATGACACATGAAGATTTCAACTTAGCGATAGACAGAAAAGAAATTTTAAAACTTAATAAAAAAGAGAAAAAAGTCACTTCAATCTGCTAAAGCAAGGCAAAATGAATTCACAGTTTCCACCTTTTGTGGTGTTTTGAACGCTTTTCAGTTGAAACTTTCTTTTTCTCAGGTTTTGGCCTTGTGTAACTCTCATTTTTTTTTGTGCTTGCAATCACAGAAGGAGAACTCTCCGATTTGTCAGGTTCTGCAAAGTAAATGCATAAATTCATTGACCTATAAAGAAGAATAAGAATAAATCTCTAAATTGCTTTGCTTTTCGATGAAATCATAGTCAATCTGAGCCTTTTTTCACATTCCTTACCCAAGTAAATGTTTATGAAACGTGTTCCATTCTTGACAGGTCCATTCGTCACAGAACCTGGGAGATAATTTGGGATTTCAGCCACCCTTTCTGTGGAGGAAGTGCTTCCTGTTTTTGCTCTTGAAAGGCCTGATTTTTCTAAAATTACAACCTTTTGTTTTTGATTCTTATGGTCTGCACTGTCTCATTTAGTTCCATCAACATAGAATTTTCTAAATCCGCAAAGCCTGAACCAACATTTGAATGAAATTCGTGGATTGGGTGTGCTCACCCCTTTATTTTAACCTGGGTTGTTCCCAATGATTTAGTACTAATAACATCAACTTCCATTAAATTTAGCAACTCTGTCAATCCCAAGATAGTGTTGAACCTTTAAACTTCAAAGATTTTCCTTCTTGTGTGCTTTAAATAGCATGTCACATATCGATCTATCTTGTCTCAAACCCAAGGAATATTAACTCAGTTTGAATCAGGTCAAAACTACCATGTGTCCAAAATAGTGCACATTTTAACAGACATAAAAAATGAATAAACTTAGAACCATGCATGCTTATAGAAAAGACAGTAATGAAAGTGCTTAACATTTCCAACTTCAAGGTAAAACTACAATGAAGCAATGTGTGCTGCTGCCACCTAAAACAAACAGAACATATTTGTGGAGCTATTTGGGGAAGGATTATAGTTCAGGTGATCTGCCTTGCCATCCGATGACTCAATGCCAGTTTCCTTGTAGCGATTTAACATTCAGGGGCATTAATTAGTTAAGGGCAAGATTTATCCCTCCACAGATACTGCCAGACCTGCTCAGTATTTCAAGCACTTTGTTTTCATTTCAGATACCCTTTATGAAAATATCATGTTGGGGTCATCAAGATTTTGGACTCCCAAAATCTGAAATGCTGGAGAAACTCAGCAGGTCTTCATAAGAGGTCTTGAAATGTTAACTCTGACTCCTCTCCACAGATGCTGCCAAACCTGCTGAGATATCCCAGCAATTTCTGTTTTTTGTTTCAGATCTTCAGGATCCACAGTTCTTTGTTTTATTTTAAGATTTTGGACTACTTTCTTGTTTGAATCCATCTCGTTACTTTATTCAACGGATTATACACATGTATATACAGTTGTATCAAGAAGGGGTCTTTAACTGGACACGACACACACAATTCTCTGTTGACTGTGATTATCGAAATGACAAGCAGATGCTCAGATGAGCAGAGGGGACGGAGTTGCCTTGTTAGCAAGAAATGAAATTAAATCGATAGCAAGAAGTGCTAAAGAGTCAGTAGGCATAGAATCGGTGTTTGGTAAGTTGAGGAACCACAAAGGAAAAAGGCACTGATGGAAGTTATATGTAGGCGTCCCAGCAATTACAGTAATCATGGGGAACTTCAATGTGCAGGTGGAGTGGGAAAATCAGGTTGGTAATCCCAAGGAAAGGAATTTGTGGAATGTCTACAAGTTGGTTTTAGGAGCAGCTTATGGTACAGCCCACGAAGTCACAGGAAATTCTGGATTTGCTGATGTGTAACGAGGCAGACTTGACTAGGGAGCTACAGGTGAAAGAACACGTAGGAAGCAGTGACCATAGTATGGTAGAATTCACCTTGTAGTTTGAGAGGGAGAAGCTAGAATCAGATGTAATGGTTTTATAATTGAGTAAAAGGTAACTAAAAAGACATGAAAGGGTAGCTGGCCACAGATGATTGGAAGGACAGGCTAGCAGGGAAGATGGTGGAGCAGCAATAGCAGGAGTTTCTGCAGGTAATTTGGGAGGCACAGCAGAAATTCATCCCAAGGAAGAAGAAACCTACTAAGAGAGGACCAGGTAACCATGGCTGATAAGGGAAGTCAGAAACAGCATAAAAGCAAAAGAAAAAGGATACAATGTTCTGAAGATTAGTGGGAAGCCAGAGGATTGGGAAGTCTAAAGAAAAAACAACAAAGGACAACTAAAAAAAGAAATGGAGATGGCAGGAGGAGGGAGATAAAATTATGAGAATAAGCTAGTTAATAATATGAAAGAAGATTGCAAAAATTTTTTTTAGTTACATAAAAAAGGTAAGACAGAGACAACATTAGGCATTGAACTACTGGAAAACGAGATGGAGAAGTAGTGATGGAGAACAAAGAAATGGTGTAGGAACTGCATACGTTTTTTGCTTCAGTCTTCACAGCAGAAGACGCCAGCAGCATACCAATACTTCAAGAGAGTCAGGAGGCACAGGTAAGCGTAGCTGCCATCACTAAGGAGGTGGCACTGGGGAAGCCGAAAGGTCTGAAGGTGGATAAATCACTAGACTGGCTACACTCCAGAGTTCTTAAGGAGATAGCTGTGGAGATTGCAGAGGCATTGGTGGTGATCTTTCAGAGTCAGGGAGGTCCCAGAGGACTGGAAAATGGTTAATGTAACACCCCATTTAAGAAGGGTTGGAGGCAGATGGGAAATTATGCCAGTTAGTCTGACCTTGGTTGTTGGGAAGATTGTGGAGTATTTGGAGGTGAATGGTAAAATAGGGCTGAATCAGCACAGCTTCATCAAGGGGAAGTTACAGTTGACAAATGCGTTAGAATTCTTTGACAGTATAATGAGCAACTTAAGACAGTCAGCGGATGTGATCTATGTGTACTTCCAGAAGGCCTTTGACAAGATGCTGCACAGGAGGCTGCTAAGTAAGATAAGAGCCAATGGTGTTAGGGGCAAGGTTCTTGCATGGATAGAGGACTGGATGACAGGCAGAGAGTGGAGATAAAGGGGTCATTTCAGGATGGCAGCCAGTAACTAGTGGAGTTCTGCAGGGGTCAGTGTTGGGACCACAACAATTCAAGTTATGTAATGATCTGGACGAAGGAACAGATGGCATTGTTGCTAAGTTTGCAGAAGACACAAAGATAAATGGAGGAACAGGTAGTGTCGATAAAGCAGAGAGGTCGCAGAAGGATTTGGACAGGCTAAGAGAGTAAACAAAGAAGTGGCAAATGTAATACAATGTGGGAAAGTATAAGGTTATGCACTTTGGCAGGAAGAATAGAGGTGCAGACTGTTTTATAAATGGGCAAAGGCTTCAAAAGTCTGAAGCACAAAGGGATTTAGAATTCCTAGTTCAGGATTCTCTTAAGGTTAACATGCAGGCTCGGTTGACAGAAAGGCAAATGCAATGTTAGCATTCATTTTGAGAGAGCTAGAATATAAGAGCAGGGATGTACTGCATAAGGTTTGAGGTTGCATAAGGTTTCAGTCAGACTGCATTTGGAATATTCTGAGCAGTGCTGGGCAAGGAAGAATGCGCTGGCGTTGGAAGTGATTCCAGAGGAGGTTTACAAGAATGATCCCGGTGATATGCCTGTCATATGAGGAGCTGTTGTGTACTCAGAATCTGTACTTGATGGAGTATAGAAGGATGAGAAGGGGGATCTTGCTCAAACAGAATACCGAGAGGCTAGATAGAGTCAAGCTGGAGAAGATGTTTCCACTGGTAGGAGAGATTAGCACCCTAGGGAATAGCCTCTGAGTGAAGGGCTGACCCTTTCACAACCTTCCACGAGCAAGAGAGACCAGGACCCAAATGCACAGGTTTAGCTAGAAATAATGCCCTTTAGAACTGAGATGAGGAGGAATTTCTTCAGCCAGAGGGTAGTGAACCTTTGGAACTCATTGTCGCAGACAGCTGTGGAGGCCAAGTTATTGAGTGTATTTAAGACAGAGGTAGATAGGTACTTGATTTGTAACAGGATCAAGGGTTATGGGGAGAAGGTGGGACAATGGGATTAAGAAATATATCAGCCATGATCAAATGGTGGAGCAGACTCGAAGGACTGAATGGCCTAATTCTGCTCCTATATCTTATGGTTTTATGGTCTTATCAGGAGTGATTCATTAACATTTATAAGCCATTTGCACTTTTGAATACTATATTCCATGCATACCAACAGATCATGGTGAAGCACCAATACATACAATTGACCACAAAATACACAGATTTCCCTCCATACACAGGAAACAGCAGTTAGAGATTGCAAAAATAGCCCGGAGGCAGGATGGAGCTGAAGAAATGGCAAGTTAGTTGCCAGAGTTTCCACCTGCCACTGATCCAACCTCAAGTGAGCTGAGAATTTAGCCTGAGCTCAGCAGAAAGCTGTTTAAACTCATAACACACTGAACTCAAACTGCCTTGAAGATTGAAGTGCTTCGATAGATTAAGAGTCTTACACACTTATACAGAATCTTAATGTATCCTTACACTTCCTCAATACTGTATATAGTCAATGAATTATCCTTTAAAATGCAGTCATCACCGTCAAATATGAACACAAAAGGTAATTTTGCAAAGCAACATGATGATGGATCGGTTCAGTTATTTTTGTGAAGCTGTTTGAGGAAGGATTGTGGACGAGAAAAAGAAATAAAAATTTGCACTTACATAGTGCACTGCATGACGACTGAATGTCTCAAAGCACTTTACAGTCAATAAAGTACTTCTGAATTCTCATCACTGTTGTAATGTAGAAAACAAGGCAGCTAATTTGCTCTCAACAAACTACCACAAACAGCAAAGGGATAATGAACACACAATCCACTTTCTGTGACATTAATGTTGGTTAGGGCACTGGGAACAACTCGCCCACTCCTCTTTGCAATAGTACCATAAGATCTTTTACAGTGACCTGGGCAGGCAGATGGGGCCTCCGTGTAATATCTCACTAAAACACAACTGGAGTGTCAGTCTGTGTTTCTGTGTCTAAGCCAGGAATGGAATTTAAAACTAGAGACAACTGCACTATAAATTGGGCTACTGCTAAAATTAGACATCCAATTAATTCCTTGCTCTTCTTCAAATCTTGTACATCTGCTTGGGCATACCTCTGTTTAATGTTTTGTGCAAAAGTTGGTATCTTGATAGTGTTGCACTGAAGTGCCAACATTAAATTGTGCTTGAGCACATTGGAAGTGACATTAACTGAGCCAAGCTGGCAGCACAAATATTATAAAATCACAGAATCCCTACAGTGCAGATAAAGGCCATTTGGCTTATCAAGTCTGCACTGACCCTCTGAAGAGCATCCCACCTAATTCCATCCATTTACCATGGCTAATCCACCTAGCCTACACATGCGTGGACAGTACAAGGGAATTAAGCATGGCTAATTCACCCAAACTGCACATCTTTGGATTGTAGGAGGAAATAAAGCACCCAGTAAAAAAGCCACACAAACACAGGGAGAACTTGCAAATACCGCAGAGACAGTCACCCAAGGGTGGAATCAAACCCGGGTCCCTAGCGCTATGAGGCAGCAGTGCTAACCACAAAGCCACCATGCCGCCCAATATAACGAAATAATTAGAAACAGAAGAAAACTGAATTGATTTCAACTGCTATTAACATGCAACTTCCATAGCCATTAAGCTCTGGAGTATGACTCAAAACCAAAACTTCTGGTTTAAAAGGCAGGAATGCTACTCTCAGTGCTACCGAACCTCCTGTAAAATAAAAAAACTTTCAAAATCAATCACCAAGTCTGATACTGATCAAAATATATATTTTGTATACAGAGATGGGTTCTTGCATTACATTGTTCATATATTTGTCAAAAACATTTTACCATTATTAATGATGTATTTTTGGTGTAATTGCATGATACATTGCCCAATATATTTCAGAATTTTCTTGGTGATTCTTCCAGTCAGTCACCATCATTTGAGAAGAAGCTCCAATAAATATGTAAACGATGAGCATAATTTCCCCAGACAAGTGGGGGAAGGTTTTAACGTGTGCAAGGTGCCACATCTCCTGAAACTGTGCTAAGTCAAGATCCTGAAACAATCCTGTTTCTTTGCCAGGACAAGCCCAATGTCTAGCAGAGAACCGTGTTGGAAATCAACTGAGCCAGTTAAAACAGTAATTAAGAACCTCTTCAAGCCAAGATTCTTTTGTTTTTAACTGCACACTGGATTTCAGATATTTTCTAATTAACCTATTCAGAGATGTTAAATATACAACTCCCATACAACTTGGTCACAAGAAAACTTCCCTGCAAATACCAAGTATTGACACCAGTATCAAAAACGATCTACTATTTGCCTGCACTTCATCTCAAAAATGAAAGCTTTAATTAATTGTGACATCCAATCCCCAATATATTTCTTGATTTGAACATACCTGTTTTAGCTGAGGGAGTGGAATCATCTACTTCTGAAGTGTTCTCAGACATGTCTGAAATTCCTTTGTATTTTCCTGTTCCTTTTTTCTTTGAATAACACAGTTGCTTCAGGCTAGGCCTAACTATTTGTTTTACACCATCTGTCGCGACAAAAGACTTAGGTTGCTTACGTCGTGATTTTTTTCACTTTAGAACGATTGTATCTTTTTGTTTGTAGGGAGGCACCTTCTTTTACATCATCATTTTCCTGGTGCAAATCTTTATCTGCATTGGAACTAGAGCTTGACGTTATGCATTTAGCATTCGTTACATTTGTTTGATGTTGGGTAGCATTCTCGGGCTACAGGACAAAAGGTTTAAAGTATATATTATACACTTGATGTCTACATACATTGAAATAAACACTTTGATAATAACTGGCTATAGTTTCTTCAACAGTCATAATTTTACAACCATTTAGTATTTTTAATTTCTATAATTCAAGTATAAGTTCTATACTATGGAGTAAGTGTCCTCCCAAAAGACTCCTACCATTTGTTATAAACCCAGCTGATGTTATTACCAGACAGGTCAGATAACAGACTGAAATCTGCCTTGATCGTTTTTTTTTGTTCTTATTTAAAAAGGTGACCTTTCTCTGAACTATAAGCATGCAATGCTGCAGATTTGGTTTGAACAATAAAATAGAAATTTATTTCACAAAAGATAAAACAGAATAAACCAAACTATTTACAAATGACACAATTTGTAAAATTTCAAAATATAAGCTAAAATACAATCCCATCTAGCCAACATCATGTTACAGTCCTCAAACACCAGAGAGAATTCCCTTCTCTATTACATCCACAGGTTTGACTTAACTGTTTCTTTCAATTACCTCTCACGAGTTTGATAGCATCTTCCTTAATAGTTCACATAACTCAGCCTAGATTTTCTCAGATTTGTATAACATCTTCAGAGTTGTGACTAAACATTTCGGGTCTGGAACTTTCAAACTAAAACCCTGCACTGAGGTAAGCTATCTCTTTTGTCAGAAGGAAGTGTTTCATACATCTAACTCCAATCAGGAGCTCTGTGAACTGAGAAAACACTTTCCAAACTCTAGGTTTTTCCTCTAAGCAAATAAAAATAAAATTCCTGATCCTTCCAACTTAAAGTAAGCTAATATTCTTCAATGTTTACTCTGCCCTTGCATAAAACTCTCCCAATAGAAACAAATCCCCAGGAATTCCCTATGCTACAGATATTGTCCTTTTAAAAAAATGGCTCCATAAATACTGAACAATTAATTGTTAAACCCCTAATAAACGCAGACCAAAACTCCCATAGCACTAATTCAAATCCAAACTCCGAAATAAGAAATTTTAAATATACACAAATCTCACACTTTACATCACACCAATATTGTCATGGATAGATGCATCTGCAACAGGTAGTTTGGTGAGGACAATATTAAGTAGGGTTTCCCTCTTGCTGGTTCTCTCCCTA